GGTTTCCTCACCAGCATTACATCAGCATTGGACCTATGCCTGGGACCCCTGGAAGCCTCCTGATGGCATTTCTGGGCCTCTTTATATCTGCCCTGGACTCGCTGTGACCGAGTTGCTCACTTTAATGAGCCAGAGCTGAACCGCCGGCCCTCTGCCACGGGGACCATCGTCATGGATGAGCTATGCCGCCTCTCGTCCCCACAACCACCCACTGTGGCTGGGACTACATTTACAGCACAGCTGAGATCTCATCTCCCTGGGGCCTCATGGTGTCCCCCTTTTCTGACTGAGAATCTCCCTGTGGCAATTTGGGGCCCCCTCTTACAGTTGCCGCCATTGGCTTAGGCCCCATCCATGTCCCTAAAACCTCCATCATGTCTGGCCTGGGCCCAAGTGCCTTTTGCCTCTGACCATCATGACAGTTCTAGGCCCCTTTCCCGCTGGAATCCTGATGATGGCTGAGCTTGGCCCATATCCCTTTGCCTGGTTGAGCCCTGGCCCTGTCACTCACCCAGGAAGCGGACCAGCCTCCTCAGTGGGGGGCTGAAGCGGCAGCAGGCCCCAGACACGATGGTGCTCTCCCCGATGATGGGGATGGCTGAGGGTGGTGCGGGGAAAAAGGCACGAGCCAGCTCCCCCAGCAAGATCTGTGGGTGAGACCAAAACAGGGTCTTCCTGGCCTCCCAGCCCAAGCCACCTCCCCCTAACCCTCCTGCCTCCTGGGAGGGCCTCCCACAGTCTACCAAGGCTACCCCCCCAGTCTCACCGTGAGGGTGGGCCCAGCGGTGACCAGAGCATAGATAAGTGCAGGAGGTGCCCGGCTGGCAGCCTCGGGCCCCGGGTAGGGCTTGGCATAAGTACTGTCATAGCAGAAGAAGCCCTGGGTGTGCACAGGGAAGGTGTCCGTGAACTCCAGGCGGTACGCAAGCAGGACCACCACGCCCAGCAGCACAGACTGCCACCCAGCCAGAGCGGAGAGAGAGACGGAGAGAGACAGAGAGAAAAAGAGAGAAGGTGAGGCCTGAACTGGGGACATGGAGACACACACACACACACACACACACACACACACACACACAGACAGAGCGAGAAAAGGGGGAGAGACAGAGAGTGACCAAGACGAGGGAGATGAAAAGAGTGAAAGAGAAAGAGGTGGGGAATGGGGCCAGAGAAGTGTCAGGGTTTGGGAGACAGAGAAAAGAGATGGAGATGGAAACAGAAAGAAAGAGAGAGAAGTCAGAAATGGAGGGGAGAGGAGAGAAGAGGGAAGAGAAGGAGAAAGAGAAAGAGAAAGAGAAAAGGCAAAGAAGAAAAAGAGAAGGGACTAGAACAGTAGACTAGAGAGAGAAGAGGGAATGGGATTTGGGAGAGAGAGTGAGGACACGGCTAAAATCTGACCAGAGAGATATAGAGACTGGGTGGGGGAGTGACAGATAGATCACCAGGGAGAATTAGTACTACGGGTAGGACTAGCAACTACCACAGGTATAACTCTTCTGTCAGTGAATAAATTTTACCTTCTAAATATGCCCATTTGACAGAAGAGGAAATTGAGGCTCAGGAGGATATGTGAGATGCCCAGAGTCCAAAAGTAAGGATGTGAAGAGTGCGATTGGAACCCTGGAAGTGCTACTTCTGAGTCCAAGCTCATAAACACTTCTCAAGAGAAAGGGAATAGTATTCTCAACACCCCCCCCCCCACTTCCGCCCCCCGCCCCAAGACAGGAAGGAGGAGATGGGGAGAGAGAAGGCAGGAGGCCTGGAACCAGGTAGATGGAAAATCAGGGCCAGGTAGGGACCTGGCCAGGATGAGGGACAAGGAGATGGGACAGAAAGACAGGTACACCCCCTCCCCACGGAGGGAAGGAAGGAGGTACTGGACGCCTCACCTCCACGAAGACAAAGCAGGGAATGATGGAGAAACTCCTCTTGAGCTGAGGTCTCCCTCCCGCCATGGTGAAGGCCTGGGCCTGTGGAGGTGGGAGGAAATGGGGTGGCCAGGGTGGGGCCTAGGGGGACGCTCAGGTCACAGGCCCTGGAGTCCCCTGGCCATGCCTCTGCATATCCAGGGCTCAGCCCTGCTCCTGCCATTGGAGACACTAGCCTCCTCTGACAACACGCTCAGCTCAGCCAGCTGGCGGGGGAACCCCAGAGATCCTCTAGTGGTCTTTACTCCCTATAACCTACATAGGAGATTCTGACCCCATACCTTTGAGGAGGGACTCTCCTCCTTACTAAGCAGGATACCCCCCCTCCCCCGCCGGCCTTGAGAAGAGAATTCTCCAACTTAACAGGGATACCTCCACGATGGAGAAGGATCCATTTAGAAGGGTTCTCACACCCACCAGTTTTTAGGAAACCCCATCCTCTTTCCCCACATGCTTTACAGGGGACCCCATGCTCCATGTCCCTCACTCCTGCCAGGCCCTTCTCCTGAGCCCCGTCTCCCATGTGCCTGTGGTTTGTGGCTGATGGCCAGGCCCTACTTCTCTCCCAGTTGCCTCTCCCTCTCTACTTTCTTCCAGCCCATCACCTCCCTATATCATTAGGGCGCTATCTCCCACCACATGCTCCCACTACCCCAAGCAGTGAAGCACTAACAGGGTCACACCTGCTTGACCCATTCTCCCAGGCGGGCCTCACCTGTGAAAGAGCCCTATGACTTCCCACAGGTGGCTGCCACGTCCGTGGACTCACAGCCGTTCCTGGCAGCCAGCAGGGCAGTGATGGTCACCCCCATTGCACAGATGTGGAAACTGAGGCGCAGGCAGGTGAGGGTAGGCACTCTGGGTCCAGTGCTCCATCCACAAGGCTTGCTCTTCAGTGTAACATGTGGGATGAACGTTGCTAGAGGTCCCAGATGTCTCTCTGGCCACAGCCCCCTCACCCTCCCAGAGACATAATCAACCACATCGCACCCCCAGAGTACACAGCTCAGCCACAGCCTCCATCCCACCCCGCACCCCCACACACCATGGCCCAGCATTCGCCCATGTCACCAACATGGACCAAGTGCCTGCTGCGTTCCAGGCACTGTACTGAGTGCCAGCCTTGTGGTGAACAAGACAGGCCCACTCATTCAGGCAGGTGCCCAACACCCACCACAACCCACCACACACATAACTGCATGCTCATGCACACACTCCACACACGCACACGGCACAATGTGCACACAGCCTGTCACGGACACCCACACAGATCAAACAACTCCCCCCCAGCACAGGCACAGGGACACAACGGGAGGCTCCACACGCCTCACAGCCCCTCAGCCCCACGTGAGCACTCGCCCCTCAGGGCTGTGGGCTCAGGGTTGCCAACACACTTAGGAGCAACATCAAAAAGAGAGTCACCATACACAATGGGGGGTCACTGAACCGGTCAGTGTCACACCCCCAGTTACATGGAATTCAGTGACAACCACACACGAACACTTCTCATCCACGTCGACTGTCATGGGAGATACCATGCTATCCACAGCCACAGCCACATGGCCACACCAGGGCACATACATGGACCATGACAGACTCACACAGAGCCACAGCCACACAAGAAAGATGCACGATCACAGCCACACATTAGAATGCAAAAATGCCCCCCACACCATTAAAAGGAACACACAATGACAGTCACATACACACAACCACACGGACTCACAATCACAGTGACAGCCATCACAACAAAGCCACACACACACCATCAGTGATAGCCACGATGAGAGCACACAATGACAGCCGCAGGAGACAGTCACACACACACCACACACACTTCAGAAGCCACACAATCACAGCTATACAGACACAAAATGACAGTTATACAACCACACACTGACAATCATTACAGCCATACAATCCCAGTCACCCTCACCACCACCTCTTGGCTTCTCAAGCCCAGATCCCCTCCCATGCCCCCTCCCAGCCCCGTCCCCAAGCTCCTCGCTTCCCCTCCCCCTTCCCACGCTGGACCCGCAGGGGACCGGACCCACAGGATCCGAACCCGGACCAGACAGAGACCGAGGGTCGAAGCCCGAAAGAAGGGCTACAAGGGACACTTCAGGTCCCTCCCCCTCACCGGTAGAGGCTCTGCCACCTGAGCTCGGGGTCCGCCTAGACGTCACCAGCGCGGCCGGACGGACCGATTGCTGGCCTGGCGGGCGGGCGGGTGGACGCACAAATGGAGATGCTGTCGGCCCCGGCTCTGCGCCGCGCAGACTCCGCGAAGGAGCGAGGGGCGTGGCCTCGGGGCGCCTTATTTGCATAACACAGTGGGCGGGGTATCGAGGCGTCTTATTAGCATGATCTGGGCGGAGCCTCGGTTGTTCTTTGGGGCGGGGCGGGGCGTGTTAGAGTAGATTGAGGGGGAAAGAAGGATGGAAGTTAAGAGGGAGGACCCTGGCCCTGGCCGGTTTGGCTCAGTGGATAGAGCATCTGCCTGGGGACTGAAGGGTCTCAGGTTTGATTCAAGTCAAGGGCACATGCCCGGGTTGCGGGCTCGGTCCCCAGTAAGGGCATGCAGGAGGCAGCCAATCACTGATTCTCTCTCCCTCTCCCTTCCTCTCTGAAATCAATAAAAAAATTTTTTTTTAAAAAAGAACAAGTACCTTAATTGTAGTGTACAGTAAACAAAAAAAAAAGAGGGAGGACTCTGGGTGAGGGTAGGCGCTGAGCGGAAGAGGAGGGCGGAGTGTCAGAGCATGACCTGGGCCACCACACTCCCTCTCTGGGCCTCGGTTTCCCCATTTGGGCAGTAGGGCCAGATCGCCAAAGCCCCCTGGAAAGGAAGGCTGGTGACTAGTGTGAAACCGCCTGCCTAGCCACTCATATCTGGACAGAGCAACCCAGGACTTGTCCTATACTAATCTGGCCTCGCACTGTACTCTGACCCTAAGTTCATACATCCCCAGCAGCCCCTGGGATCTCCATGCCGCCCCAACACTGGCGAGTAAATGGGGGTGGCTCATTCTCAGGCACGGAAGCAGCAGGAGCAACAGTCCACAGGTGGAGGAGGGTCTCGGCTAGTTTATTTTCTCTCTGGAGGGGTCTTCGTGGAGAGCAACCCGGCTGCTCAAGCTGTGGGGAGACAGGATGGGTAAGGGCCAGGTCTGGTCCAGGGGACCCAGGGGTGGCAGTCAGAGTGCAGGAGCCCAGGTTGGGAGCTGGGAGGGTCCATCCTGTGGGATTCCAGGGCTGGTCGGGAGGGGCAAGGTGGGCGGAGCAGGGGAGGAGCCACACCTGGTGGGAAAGAGCGGCTTTTGTTGAAGGGTGGCTGGGAAGGGTTCTGGTCCGAGTCCGAGTCCGAGTCCCAAGAGTGAAGCGGAGGACTCAGGCATCTGTGCCCCTTGTAGCCTGCAGGGACAGGTGCCATTCTGGCTCTCCATGCATGAACCCTGAATGTGATCCTTGAACCAGGGTCCCTTGATCATGTCCCTTGAATGTGACCCTTAAATTTTACACCAATGATCCTTGAAAAACATCCAGGTGACCCTGAGTGACCCCTAGAAGAAACCTCCAGGGACTCCTTAATGTGACCCCAGATTAAAATCCAACAGATGTGGCCCGGCTGGTGTGGCTCAGTGGTTGAGCGTCAACCTATGAACCAGGAGGGTGGCAGTTCCTCCTGGGTTGCTGGCTCAATCCCCAGTAGGGGGCATGAGGAAGGCAGCCAATCAATGATTCTCTCTCATCACTGATGTTTCTATCGCTCTCTTCCTCTCCTTTCCTCTCTGAAAGCAATAAAATATAAATATAAAATGAAACCCAACAGATGTGACCTCCAAATATGGCCTCTGAACATGAGCTCCATGTGTGAAGCTGGAGAATGACCCCACCCACCCTGGAGCATGGCTCAGTCCCTCTCACCCCGGAGGCTCCCAGTCTTGGGGCGCATTCCCGAGGACATGGTGAGGCCATCAAAGGAGTTCTGCAGCGTATGCACGGCGGACCTGCAGGAAGATGGGGAGCTGGGGCCCCCAGGTGACTCTGGACTGCCTGAGGCTGGGGCACAGGGTTGGTAGGGGGGCAGAGGAGGAAGGGAGTCCTGCTTGGAGATGGAGGTCTGGACTCAGATGGCTTCTAGGTTCTGGTGGTCACTGTTTGATCAGATTGGGGCAGGGCAGGGCAGATGAGGCAGATGAGGGTCAGGGGTCAGAGGTTAGAGTAGGGGCTGGGCATCACCATATGTCACTCAGCTCCTTCTGGAGGTCACTCCTCCAAGAGCCATTGCCTCCTGATGGCATCTCCTCTGTCTCCAGCCAGTTGGTTGTCTCACACCCCTGTTGTTTCATCTTGGTCAAGACCTGGGGCTCCGGCAGGAGTAGGGGGGGAAAGAGAAGAGCAGTAGTAATAAAATGACGGTGCAAGGTGACCATTACATGCTAGGCTGTCCTCAGTTCATGCAGCTACCCCTTCAGGTAGGGATGTGTGTGTTTTATCCATTACACAGAAGAGGAAAATGAGGCCCAGAGAGGTGAAGAAACTTGCCCACAGTCACACAGCAGTAAGTAGCAGAGCTGAGATTTATGTCCAGGCCTTCTGGCTCCAGTCCAATGGTGGAGGCCGAAATCCCCATGTCCCCAACCCATGTGGGGTCCCTGTCCTCCCCTCTCACCTTACGGCACTTCGCCTGGGTCTTCTGCACCTTCTGGATGTTCACCAGGTTCTCAGTGATCTCTTCCTCCTGTGCCTCTGTGAGGGGAGGGGGCTCAGGGAGGCCAGGCAGCAGAAGGACACCCCCACCCTTCCCCCCACCCCTGTGGGCTCCAGGCACTCACGGAGCTTCTGATAGATGAAGGTCACCTCCTCCCGAACCAGCTCCAGCTCCTCCCACAGGAATTTCTTGCTGAGGGGATAGTGCAGCCTAGGCCCACAGCCCGGGCCCAGTCCCTGGCCTCCTGGTTTCACAATTTGCCCACCTGCCTCTCCAAACCTCCTCCACCTCCCATGTTCCCATCTGTTCAACCACCCATTTCCCCCAGGCCCTACCCCTCCCCAAGTTGCCCACCCACCTTTACCCTCCAACTACCCCTCCTCTCCTCCCCCAGCCCCTGTCCTCTCCTCCTGACCTCCAGCCTCTCATTCCCTCAGCTTCCTATATCCTGGCCTCCATCTCTCTACCTTCCTCACCCCTGGCCTCCCATATTCCCAGCCTCAGCCCCCATCAACCTCTCCACCCCCCAGTTCCCTGATCCTCCGACCTCCTTCCCATCCTACCTCCAGCTTCCTGTCTTCCCTGCCTTCTGGCCTCCCAGTCTCCCCACACACAAACACTGCAACCTGTCTTCGCCCCTATCATCCGCTCCTCTTGTCCTCTAAGCCTTCCATGGCCCCCCCATCATCCTTACTCAGGCCTCCCCTATTTTCCCCATCTTGGGCTTCCTTCCCTCCCACAGCCTCCAGGCCTCCCCCCTTGGCACACTCACCTGTCTCGGATCTCCTGGGCCAGCAGCTGCAGGTAGCGGATAGTGCGGGTTTTCTGCACCTCCTCACTCTCCCGCACAGTCTTCTGGAGCCCCTTCAGGCCTTGCGCCAGGGCCCCATACAGCTCCCGCTGTCCCTGATCCATGTCCCACTTTTTCCCCTCTGTCTGCTGGCTCGTGGGGTTCAGGACTCCTTCAGTAACAGCGGGAGCTTGATTGAGGCCCAATCACACCACGCACAGCTTTGAACCCACTCGCCCTAGCCTGGCTGGATCCCAAGCCTGAATCCAGACTCACCCACTTCTCTCACTCTGACCCAGCTGACCCTGACAGCCTCCGGCCTGACCTTGACCTCAGGCCAGTCCTCACCTTCAAGCTGTTGGATCTTGATTTGCTGCAGGCAGCTCTCTTTCTCCAACATGGTCACTGAGTGATTGAGGAACTCAAAAGCCTGTCGGGGAAGAGGTCATGCCTGGAGGCAGGGTGGGGAGGAGAAAGGGACAGAGTTTGCTGGGCCCAGGGTTGGCTGAGGAGGCTCACCTTAGTCTGGGCCTGTAGCTGGTTCTTGAGTGACTCCAGTTCGCATCGCAGGAGCTTCTGGGTGTCAGGAATCATCATGGTGGACTTACCTATGAGCAGAAGTGTGGGTCAGCCAAGCTGGGAAGGGTGGGGGCAGGGGCAAGGTTGGGAGCAGGGATCACAGAGCCTGAGGTAGAGGCTGGAGTAGGGGGTCAAGATCAGGGACTGGGATAGAGGGCAAGGTCAGGGGCAAGAGGCAGCTGATGCTGGGGCAGGGTTGAGCGGGCAGCAATGGCAGGGTTCCACAGAGGCTGGGGCAGAGGGTGGAAGAAGGAAGCAGCAGGTCTTGCACACACAGTCTTGTTAGGAGGGAGGGCTCTCACCTTTGATTTTGGAAGAGCTGGTCTCCAATGGTTTCTAGGATAGGGGAATATGAGGGCAGTAGAAATTCATCCCTGGGCTGCCTCCTTGCTCCCCCCAACCCAGTGTTTGGACTTGAGTTGAATCTGCTGAGTTCTGGGTGTCCCAGACCCTGAGTGCAGGCATATCCGCACATGCTCAGAAGTGCACTTCTGTGGCTTGTACCCTACATGGGTGGGCCTCTGGGCTGCCCCTGATAGCAGGTACCTGCAAAGTCCTGTCTCTGGACTGGGCTCAGAAAATGGCCCTCCTCTTCAGGGGCAAACGACATTGACAGTGTCTGCAGGCAGCACCAATAGCACAGACACATAGCCATGCGTAATCCCAGAACAATCACAGCTACATAAACTCAAACACAGTCACGCACGCCAAGTCATAAGACGCAGGGCATCCATGCACACTCATCTCAGATACATAACCAGACACAGACACACCGGCAGTCATACCCAGAGACAATTACAGGAAAGACTCCACTAAAACACACAATCCCTCATCCATTCCATTCATTCCCTCGTCCATTAAGACATATTCATTGCAGGCCTGCTGAGCACTGGGAGGTGTTCTGGGTGCTGAGGACCTCCCTGTTCCCCCCCCCACCAAGCCCTGCAGCAATAGATTGTGGGGCAACAGGGAGGGGGTTCCAGGGTGTGGGTAACCTTAGTGATACTCGAATGCTTCTTCACAAGTTCCTGGTCATTACAGCATTCCTGTGAGTCTGAGTTGGGGGAGTGGGGAGACCCATGCGACTGAGGCCCTGAGTCCCTCCCTGGCTTCCAGTCTGTAATTGTCACTGTGTTCTCTGAAGCAGCTGGCCCCGAGGTCTCTGGTTCTGGAGTGCTGGACCAGTGAGTCGTATAGTCCAAGTTCTTGTCTGAGGAAGTACCTGGGGGTGGGTGAATGCGGGGTTCCTGAGGGCCAGCCCCGAGCACTCAGCCCCTCCCAGCTTCCCAGCTCTGGAGCAGCCCCTCAACGAACCCCAGTACTTGTCACACTTGCTGTGATCAAGCAAACACAAGTTGGAGGGCGACGGAGATGAGCAGTAGCAGGGCAGAGAGTAGTCAGAGTCCCGGGGCAGGCCGGCCAGAACAGGGTCGCTTCGAGTAGGAAGGACAGGTCAGGGGGCTGCACTGAGACCAGCCCCCATGTCCCGACACTGCCAGACCCTCCCTGACACCTCACAGAGGCCTCATCCCTGAACACAGGGCCTCCAACTATGGTAGGAACAGGATAAAAGATGATCCCAGCCCCAGGGATTGGGATGGGCAGTGAGAAGGACCCAGAAGACCCCACAGGAGAAAGTGAGGTCTCAGAAGAGTCTAAAAGAAAAAAAAAATCTTAACATTGGGTCCTGGTAAGAAACAGCATGTGCAGCCCTAGCCCGTGTGGCTTAGTTGGTTGGGCGTTGTCCCTGCACCAAAAGGTTTCTGGTTAGATTCCTGGTCAGGGCAGATGCCCCGGTTGCAGGTTAGATCCCCAGTTTGGGGCATGCAGGGGGCATGTAGGAGGCAGCCAATCAACGATTCTCTCTTATCATTGACTAGTGGCTTGGTGCACAAAATTCGTGCACATTAAAGGGAATTATTAGAGGAAATATTTTAATATTGCTATTTGCCCTTTCTCTATAATAGAAGTGTCAGAGATGAAAGAAAATTAGTAAAATGTATATGAAAACCTTACTCCTGTCAGAGTCCGGGGCATACCACAGGACCCAGAGTCAAGTCCCTGCCCACCTGTGTGCACCCTGAAATTGCAAGAGATCCAGACCTGGCCAGCCCCACCAGGCGGGGGATGCAGCCTCAGTTCCCCTGTCAAGCCCCGCCGGGTAGGGGGTGCAGCCTCAGGGCCCCGTCAAGCCCTGCCAGATGGGGGGCACAGCCTCAGGTCCCCTGTCAAGCCCCGCCAGGTAGGGGGTGCAGCCTCAGGGCCCCGTCAAGCCCTGCTAGATGGGGGGCACAGCCTCAGGTCCCCTGTCAAGCCCTGCTGGGTGGGGGGGTGCAGCCTCAGGTCCCCCAGCCTGGTGCCAGGTGGGGGGTGCAACCTCAGATCCCCTAGTTCCCCCTCAGATCCCCTGACCTGGCGCCGGGACAGGGGGTGCAGCCTGAGGTCCCTGTCAAGCCCCGCTGGGTGGGGGACGCAGCCTGAGGTTTCCCTTCAAGCCCCTCTGGAGCCGGGGGCGCGGTCTGAGGTCCCCCATCAAGCCCTGCCAGGCAGGGGGTGTAGCCTGTGGTCCCCCATCAAGCCCCACTGTGCAAGGGGGCACAGCCTGAGGTCCCTGTCAAGCCCCACCAGGTGGGGGGGCACAGCCTCAGGTCCTGTGCCCCGGCCTGGTGCCATGCAGCCTCAGGTCCCTGCTGATCACTCATTATGGCTCGTTATGGGAACCCTGCCTCTACTGTGGGCGCAGCCATCTTGTGATGGCATGATGGAGTGAGGGTCAATTTGCATATTGCCGCTTTATTATATAGGATGTTTTTTTCTCTCTCTCCCTCTCCATCTCCCTCTCTGAAATCAATAAAAAGTAGATTTATAAAATATTTTTTAAAAATCAAACTATTCTTTAAAAAAAAAGAAAAAGGAAGAGCATGTACCAAAGCTTGGAGGTGTGGAACCATGTGCTCTGTGATGATAAATTCAGGCCGGTTAGAGGCAGAGTCCAAGAGGAAACAGTAGGAGATTAGCAGGGCAGCTCAAGCAAGGAATTGAAAGCCAAGCAGAGAAGTTTGGACTTGGTTCCCCAGATAAATGGGAGCCATAGTGTGTGAACAGGAGAGGCAAGGCACATCTATTTAGTAAGTATTAGCTGAATGGGGGCCCGGGCCCATGCTAAGTGGGGCTGGGAACGGATGGAGTCATGTGGGACAGAGCTGTCTGGAAAAACTTCCAGGTGCAGGGGATCTTGCCTTGGGTCACACTCAGACAGAAAGGCCACGCTCTAGAGGCCTTTCTGAGTCCTCTAGTGTCCTTCCTCTGCCCAGTCCTAGAAGACTGCTGTGCACCTTTCAAAACCCTATTTAGCATCTGTTCTGTAAAAGTTTCCTTAATCCGTTTTTTTTTTTAAATGCCTTTACTGATTTGAGAGAGAGAGGAAGGGTGAGGGAGAGAGAGAAACACCAATGTTACAGAGAAGCATCGACCAGCTGCCTCCTGCATGACCCCTAGCGGGGATCCAGCCCACAACCCCGCACGTGCCCTGACGGGGACCGCTGACTTTCTAGTGCATGGGACATGCTCAACCCACTGAGCCACACCGACCAGGACCCTTAATCCTTTTTAATAGATTTTTAGAGAGAGAGGAAGGAAAAGGGAGAGAGAGAGAAACACTGAAGTTAAAGAGGAACATGGATCGGCTGCCTCCTGCATGACCCCTACTGGGGATCAAACCCGCCACCTGGGCCTGTGGCCTGACAGGGAAAACCCCGCAACCTTTCAGTGCCCGGGAGGATGCCCGCCCAACTGAGCCACACCGGCCAGGGCCCTTGATTCATTTTTAAGCTCCTATTTTCTGAGTACCTCACTGAGCGCGGGGCACCACCATCAGCACTCATTCGGTCTTCACACAAGAGGCAGTGGACACCCTCTGGCTGGATGGTGTGGGCTCAAGTCCTAGCCCTGCCCCTTCCTAGCTGTGTGGTGTTGGAAGAGTTACTGAACCTCCCCATGCCTTAGTGTCCCCAACTCTAAAAACGGGATATCACTACCACATCATGGAGTTGCTGTGATTAAGTAGATTAATCCATGCCAGTGCTGAGCACACAGTAGTGGGAAACTCAGTGTATGTCCTTGAATGTCACACTGAGAACTTGGGACCTGGGAATCATATAGGAGCCCTGAGAGAATTGGAGGAGAGGGAAGACCCGTTTCTGAGTGCCACCTGCAAGCAGAGCCCCCTTCCCCTCCCACATCAGTCGTTCCTCCCGAAGTTCCTCCAGGGAGAATTCTTGGGAAGAGGGCGGGGTGTTATTAACCTGGGCCCCGCCCCCCGGGCCTTGAATCCTGCGCCCCACAGGCTTCCGACCCCTTCCCACCCCCACCTACCACATAGCACCTGCTCATGCTCTCCCATCAGGAACCGCGAAGCCAGTCCCCAGCTGTGACGCTGAAATTTGATCCTGTGGGGACACCATCACTTTAAAACGCGCGGAGCCTAAACGCGGAGTCACAGAGAGGGGCGTGGCTGGCACGTTAGCCCCGCCCCCTCCGTTGCAACCCACGGCCTCATTGGCGCCTTCCCGCTTCCGCAGATCTTGGGAGCCGCCGCGTAATTGGGTAAAATCCCAGAGAGGGGGCGGGGCTTCAGGCAGGTTTCTGCTAATCGATTAGTCCATAGCCAATGGGGCGGTACAGGAGGCAGCAGATTACGATTAGATTGGCTTCGGGTTCAGCTGGGAGGCGGGACGAGTTCTCGGTCCCACGAGGAGAGGTGGTGGGGATCCCGGGAGTGCAGTACTGAGCCCAGCCCGCTGGCCCCCAAGGTCGGCCTCGGCGCCTCTGGTCTCGGACGCCTGGGTATTGCGGGTTGAAGTCCGATTCCTACTGGCGGGATGGTGTCTTCGGGATGAGATTTGGGGGTTTCCCAGCATTAGATGGAGCCGGGGTGCTTTGGGGACCTTCATATAGATATCTGGATCTTGTTATGGGAGCAGGAGTCTTTGCTGTTAGAACTGGAACCCCGAGGTGATATTTGAGAGTCACGGAGGTGATCTCAGAAGCTCTTGGACTACGAGCTTGAGCTGGTGGGGCTGAAACTTGGGGGTGTCGCAGGTGGCATGGATGTTGGGGTCCAGAGAGTCTGAGAGCTTGAGGGCTGACATTGAGAGAGATGGGGTCGGGTTGTCGCAGGGCCGACCCCTATTCCTGGGCTGCCATCCCTGCATATCTGCTGGATTGGCGGTGACCCCGGCCTTGCGCAGGCTCCCAGGGGCTGAAGGCCAAAGGTAAAAGCTCTGAGCCACCCGGTACCTCCTTCCCAGGCCTGCAAGATGGAGGAAGGCGGGAACCCAGCAAGCCTGACTAAGGTGGTCCATCTGCTGGTCTTGTCCGGGGCCTGGGGCATGCAAATATGGGTGACCTTCGTCTCAGGTAGGGACCCTCGTTCTGGACGTCATGGATACCCAGGGTGGGGACAGGAATGAGAGCGGGACCTGGAGTATCCTAACGGATGTGTGGTCCCCTGCACTCCACAGGCTTCCTGCTCTTCCGAGGCCTTCCACGACATACCTTCGGCCTCGTGCAGAGCAAACTCTTCCCATTCTACTTTCACATCTCCATGGGCTGTGCCTTCGTCAACTTCTGCATCTTGTTTCCACAACACCCCTGGTCTCAGCTCACCTTCTGGGAGACCAGCCAGGTATGCAGACTTGGGCCTCACTACCCTCTGAAGACTTATTCCCAGTACCCCACTGAGCACCGAGGGGCCCTCCGTTGTGAGAACTGAACAACAACAAAACTGTGCCTTCTTCCTGGTGGATACAAAGCTGGGCTCTGGATACCCTTGAGCAGTACCCAGCCTGCACAGCCATCCCCAGCAGCCCTGTCTATCCTAATCCCCCTGTCTGTCTGCTGGCTGCTGCGCCCTCTCCTCCTTCTGGTTGGGCCTGCTGCCAAGCTGTGGTGACTCAGCTGGGCTGGGGCACTGACCCCGGGTCATTGTTTAAAAAACGAGCCAGACTGGGAATTTAAAGTCCCCCACCCCCATCCACACATTTTCCCAACTACCAGGCAAGCGACCATCTCTGCATCTCGTATTTCTCTATCCCGCCCTCCCACTGCCCTCATTGTGTCCCTCATATGTGGGCAGGTAAAGCCTGACAGTGGTTTCAAGAATAATCCCATAGAGACCAGAGAGTATTATGGGTAACTGGAACTTTAAGGGCTTTTTATTCACTCCCTGTGGGCCCAGTGTTAGCTTCTGGGATCTGGGCTGGGGCCACAGAGGAGATGGACCCTGTCTTAGGCTCTCTCTCTCTTTTGGGGGAACGAGGGGACAGTTATTGTGCTGTTCCAATTTGGGGAAGAGAGGTTCTGCTCTGAGATACCGTCAGTTTGTGGGAAAAGGCTGTGTTCTGGAAACTTCCAGTCTGAATATCAGAGAAGAGGAGACTCAGAAGGTTTTGGGGGGGATAAAGCAGGTGCTGATATGGAGCTTTTCCTGCCAGCTTCAGGTTATTAGAGCTGGAGCTCTGGTTGGGGGCCCTAATCTGGGTTGTGGGAGCAGGGGGAGGCCTGGCTTTGACCCTCTGCTGTCCCCCAGCCCCTCGGGACTTTGAGGGTGCAGAAGGACCCTCTGCAGGGCCCCTCCTGCCTTTCCGGCACGGCTCACCTCCCACTACTTCCAACAGCTCTGCCTGTTGTTCCTGAGTCTCACACTTGCCACCATCAATGCCCGTTGGCTGGAGCCTCGCACCACAGCTGCCATGTGGGCCCTGCAGACCGTGGAGAAGAAGCAGGGCTTGGGTGGGGAGGTACCAGGCCGCCACCAGGGCCCTGACCTCTACCGCCAGCTGCGGGAGCAGGATCCCAAGTACAGTGCCCTCCGCCAGATCTTCTTCCGCTACCATGGCCTGTCCTCCATTTGCAACCTGGGCTGCCTCCTGAGCAACGGGCTCTGTCTTGCTGGCCTTGCCCTGAATCTCAGGAGCCTGTAGCACCCACTGCTTCTTTGTCTCTGCTGGCGCCCCAAATCTCAATAAACCCATCTTTGGAAATGGCTGCTGTGCTTTTTCTCCAACTGGGAAGCAGGGGGAAAAGTGGACAAGAATGGAAGCGAGGGCCTCTGTTTCTCCGTTCATACTCCCCGTGATGATTTGCAGTGTCAGCTATTGCAGCCCCTAAGCTCTTCCTATAACAGTGCCCATTTATTGAGCACCCACTGTGTGCCAAGCATGGAGCTAACCATTGCACATACTGGTGCCATATATTATTGCAACAATAGCTGGTTCTGATCCCTAGGGGACAAGCATATTTCCAACCCCATTGAATTGGGGGTGGCCATGTGTCTTGCTTTGGCCAATGAAATGTAAACAGACCCCAATGGTCATTTCCAAAGAGCAGGGTACACCCTAGCCCGTTTTTCTCAGTGTGGAGAGCGTCAGCCCTTGGACCAAAGGATCTTGGGTTCGATTCCTGGTCAATGGCATGAACCTCGGTTACAGGTTTGATCCCCAGCCCTGGTCAGGGCATGCGTGCAGGAGGCAACCAATTAATGTGTCGATGTTTCTTTCTCTCCCCTCCTCCTTTCCTTCCACTTTCTTTTAACATCAATGGAAAAATATTCCCGGATGAGGATTAAAAAAAAAAAAAAGAGGGAGAAGGGTACAATGGTCCCCTCCTTATCCATGGGGGATACATTCCAAGACCCCATGATTGCCTGAAACTATTGATAGTACCAAATCCTATATATATTATGTTTTTTTCCTGTACACACATACTTTCAATTAAAGCATTTTATGGCTTCTCTACTCTTGTGCTTTTGGGTCATTATTAGTTTTTAAAATTTTTTAAAAATATATATTTTATTGATTTTTTACAGAGAGGAAGGGAGAGGGATAGAGAGTTAGAAACATTGATGAAAGAGAAACATTGATGAAAGAGAAACATTGATCAGCTGCCTCCTGCACACCTCCCGCTGGGGATGTGGCCGCAACCAAGGTACATGCCCTTGACTGGAATCAAACCTGGGACCCTTCAGTCTGCAGGCTGATGCTCTATCCACTGAGCCAAACCAGTTAGGGCTAAATTTTTTTTTTTAATTTCTTTTTTTTTAGAGAGAAAGGAAGGGAGAGGGAGATAGAAACATTCATGAGAGAGAAACATCAACATGGACTGGCTGCCTCCTGCACGCCATCCACTGGGGATCAAGCCTGCAACCTGGGCATGTGCCCTGACCGGGAATTGAACTGGCAACCTCTTGGTGCATGGGTTGACACTCAACCACTGGACAACAGTGGCGGGGCTGGGTTACTATTAAGTAAAATAAGGGTGACTTGAACACAAGCACTGTGATACCATGACATTTGATCTAATACCTGAGATGGCTCCTAAGTGACTAATGGGTGGGGAGTGTCCACAGCGTGGATATGGTGGACACGGGTGATTCACGTCCAGGTTGGATGGAACAAGATAGTGCAAGATTTTATCATGCTATTCAGAATGGTACACAATTTTAAACTTAGAAATTGTTTAGCCCAGAATTTTCCTTTTGATATTTTCTTTTTTTTTTAATATATTTTATTGATTTTTTACAGAGAGGAAGGGAGAGAGATAGTCAGAAACATCGATGAGAGAGAAACATCGACCAGCCGCCTCCTGCACATCCCCCACCGGGGATGTGCCCGCAACCCAGGTACATGCCCTTGACCGGAATCGAACCTGGGACCTTTCAGTCCGCAGGCCGACGTCTATCCACTGAGCCAAACCGGTTTCGGCTTCCTTTTGATATTTTCAAACAGTGGTTGACTGTGGGTAACTGAACCCACAGAAAGGAAGCTCTGGGTAAGGGAGGACTACTATACAAGCCAGTGCATGGTTTGCCACATTTTCCCTTCTCCACAATGACCAGTGTGAGAAGAAAACCTCAAATGTTGGGTGCCATTGAAGTTTCGGGGCTGTTTGTTACTGAGCATACGCCACTCCTTCCTGACTGATGCATGCCATTTTTGTTCATTCTCCTAGCAGTCCTTAGAGGCACCTGCTGTTCTCATGAAGCAGTGGTACTCAGAGATATTCAACAAGTGGCTTCAGGTGGAGTTGTTGGAAGTTGAACACCAGTAAAGCCTAAACTATTGCAACCGCATATCCTCGCCTGCTGGCATAAAGAAAACTCTAGGACCTCAGTTAGGGCTGGATGTGCCAAATTTCCATACTGTGTGGCCTCCGCCAAGGAGCTGATCCTTTCTGAGACTCAGTTTCCTTATCCATAAAGTGGAAATTAATTCCAAGGGCCCTTAAGAGTATTTGGCCAAGGGATTGAGCCCAGTTTAGGGTCAGGCGTGCTGCAATTACAAACACTAATTCAGGCCAGAACCCATACAAAAAAAACCCTATGAGGGGGAGACTCTTGTCATCAACCATTTGACTGTTGGGGAAACTGAGGCCCAGAGAGGTTAAGTAACTTCTCCAAAGTCACAGGGATAGAAAGCGGAGGAGCTGGGATTCGAACCTGGCTCCAGAATCCGCGCGCTCAATCGCTCTGCACATAGTAGGAGTTCTGTAAGTAGTTCATTGTTGGGGGGTGAGCTCCAGACCTCTGAACGCGCGGGGGCAGCTTCCAGCGGCTATCCCCGCTTTCCACAAGTCCCGCCCCGGACTCGGCCCCGCCCCGCCCTGCCCTCCCCCGGGAGCGGCCCCTCCCTCCCCGCCTGGGCGGAGCCGGCGCGGGATCCGGGTGGCTGCGGGCTGCAGCGGCGGTGGCAGAGGCTGCGGGGTCGGGGTCGCGGTCGCGGTCGAGGCCGCAGCGAGTTCGGAGGCGGAAACCCCGCGGGCAACGACCCACTCGAGGTGACCCCCTCGGAGGGAGCGCACCCCGCCCCGCACCTCCGCGTCCCATCAGGTCTGGGGGGACCAGGGGGTTGGGGGAGGCCCCGGGGGAACAGAGGCGGGCAGCGGGGGACTCCTCTTCCCTCGCCCCCACCCAGCTGGGCTTCTCCGAGGACGAGAATGGGACGCGGGCGGCTCCGAGAGCCCCGCTGGGAACGAGAGATGGGACCATATGGTGATGGGAGGACGCTCCAGAGCTACCCTGCACCGGCTGGGGCCCCCCAAACCCAGCGGAGAGGGAAGGGGCCAGATCCCGGGACCCTTACCAAGTGCGGGGCGAGGGAGGATGGGGCCGGCTGACAGGTGGGCTGGGGGTGGGGCGGGGACGGGGCCCCAGCCTGGCAGCCCTGCCCAGCTTGGGGAAAGGCTTCCTGTCTCTTGTCTTCCCCTCAAACTCGTTCTCCCGGAACACGGGGTGGGGCTGAGGGCTGGGCAGAAAGGGGGGCCGGCTGTGTCCTCCTTTAAAATGGAAAGAAGCCCCACAGGCAGTTGAGAAAGAGCTTTGCGAGGTGTGTCCCCCGCTCACCCAGGTCTTCTGGAACCTCCCTGCGTGGCTCAGGGGGCGGCGGTAGACAGCTGGGGCAGCTGAGATCTAGGGAGGCCCCGAGGGCTGAGGGGATGTCCAGGGCCCAGGTGAGGCAGCCCCGCTGTGGGGACACAATGCCCGGGAAGACAGGACCAGGAGTGGGGGTCCTGGCAGAAGGGTTCCTGATTATTAGGTGGCTGGGGTGGTTTCCTTCTATTTGAGGACCATCACCCCAGCCTCCCTGGGCTGGGGCTGGACTGAGTCAGCTCTATCCAGAACGAAATGGACCCGGCCCCTTTGACAAATAGGAGGTGGCAGTACCCGCTGCGGGGGCGGAGCTCGGCTTATCGCTGGGCTGAACCTACTGAAATCCCCTCCCCTGGGGATCAGGGAAGGGGTTAAGCTCAGCTTGGATGGGGGCAGGGCAGGCACCCTGGTGGTGGCTGACACCTGCCAAAGTCAACACCCAGCCTGCAGGGGGAGGGGGGCTCTATCCAGCTGGCAGGCCCCCTCCCCCAGCTCACACCTGGGCCACACTGGCTGCTCACCGGGGGCAAAGTCCACACCTGCACCTTCTCAGGGTCTGGTTCCTCAGCCGCCAGAGGAGGCCCCCATGCACCCCCCAACCTGGGCCCTTGCATTTGCCAAACATCCCCCTTTTCTGAGTCCTGCAGAGAGCAACTGATGCATCCTGAGTCCCTTGGCCTCCAAGTGGCAGAAGCGGGATTTGAACGCAGGTTACTTGTCTTTTGTTTCCCTGCAGGAGGCTTCCCCCCAGGATGGCATCAGCTGGAGACCCCCCCACCAGCCCTCGTGATGCAGCAGACCAGAACTTCGACTACATGTTCAAGCTCCTGCTCATTGGCAACAGCAGCGTGGGCAAGACGTCCTTCCTGTTCCGCTACGCAGACGACTCCTTCACCCCCGCCTTCGTCAGCACCGTGGGCATTGACTTCAAGGTCAAGACCGTCTACCGCCACGACAAGAGGATCAAGCTGCAGATCTGGGTGGGCCCTGCCGCTGTTCCTGGGTCTGTGGGACGCCCACGGGAAGGTGTAGGGCTGTGGGAAGGGGTCCCGAGTGAGAGAGGAGCCCAGAGTCGGGGAGGGGGCGTGGAGTAGGTGTGAAGAGTAGGGGGGTATTATCTGTGAGGCGAATTCATCAGGACGAGAGGATGCGCCCTGCCCTGTGAGATCTGAGGGGGAGTCAGCAGTAACCCAAGGCAGTTAGAAGTCCTAGTGACTAATGGGAAAGGGATTTAGGTACGGCTCAGGTGTGAGCCCACTGAGCCTGCCAGGTGTCAGAGCCATCCTCACCCCCCACCCCACCCCCTGGGTGCAGCCGTTGGTAACAATGTCAGGGTAACGAGCGCCAGGTGTGTGCATCAAGAGGGTTCCCCTCTAGCCCAGGTGGCTCCTGTTTGTGGTCATTACGTGGGTTCTTGGAGATGAGGTCCAAGGGGCTTATAAGTCTGTGAGAGGCACTGACCCCTCCGACTGGGAATTCCTCAAGCTCAGGGTCACGTCTCTCACATCAGACATGGAGGCAGGCCAATGTTTCTCTCATCAGACTGGGGCAGTGGGGGCAGGACCCGCAGGGGTGCGGTGACCCTTCCCTAGTCGGCTGACCCCACTGTTTCCCCAGGA